AAATTTAAAAACATTTTTTTTTTTCATAAAAAAATTAATTCTAAAAAACTATTATAAATAAGTTTTCTAAAAAAAAAAAAAAAAAAAAAAAAAAAAAACTTAACTCATTTTGTAATATTATTTCTACTTGTTTAGAATTTAATTTTTCGTTCAATTATTTTTCTAATTGATAGAACTGACAAAAATCTACTAAATAAACATATTTTTATTTTGAAAACATCTCACTGTAATTGAAAACAAACAATTAAACTCATTAAATATGAAATCTGCGCTGAAACAAAAACAATTTTTTCTAATTTTTATATTTTCTAAAAATTCAATAATTCAATATCGAAACAGTATTATCATCTAAAATTTTCAGGTTATACTCCTGAATGCTCACAGTTTAACTACACATATAATTTATTTGAAAATATTACTAGTTGTCTACTACTATTAAAATATCCGTATAATAGCAGAATTCCATAGTTTTTCCATAAATCAATATACCACACTAATTTTGTTATTTCATCACTTGAATTTGTTTTAATTACGATCAACTATATGTCACAGATAAACTATTTCAATGACTACAAGAATACGTATATACTGTTGACAAATTTTGATTTAATAATAATAAACAAAGTGCAATATAATGAAAAATCATGGAATAGCAATTAGCATCAAAATTAAATAATTGGATAAAAATGAAATAAATATTTAATAAACAATGCGTTTTTTTATTGAAACGTTTTCTCAGTGAGTATATAAGAACCTGTCTCTATAGCTATACGAAATTTCAAGGCAAAATTAACTGTTGATGAGAAATATTTTTTGCTTTCCGTTGATGTATTTTGTTACTGCACAGGTTTCATATTTAATCTATTTATTACTTGTCTTAAATTGCAATGAAACGTTTTCAAAATAGAAATATATTTATTTAATAGGTTTTCCGAGTTCTATCTATTACAAAAAGAATTTAATCGAAAAGTGAATTCTACACGAGTAGAAATACTATTACAAAAACGGGACCAAGTTTTTTTCTGGACACTCTCTATATTGAATTTCGACAAATATTTATTTATCTTCGATTCTATTTCAACTCAACAATAAGAAAAATTCACATAAATAAAACTTTGACAACTAGACTAAATATTTAACTTTTGTTTTTTTTTCATATAAAAAGATACTTACAAGAATAATAACAACAAAACCCATTAGAAGAAATACAAGTACCATCGAATTAATAACAGATAACCAATGAATCTAAATTAAGTAAATCATTAAAGATTTAAATAGAAAAAGTTCATAAATAAACAAACCTCAAGGGTCTCGGGAAAAAATCCCGTATTAGCTATGTATTTTGCACGATCTTTATAGGTTGTTCTATAAATAAGATAATATTTAAAATAAATAAATAAATAAATAAATATTTACTCTGTTTTATGCCACTTAGCTGAATAAGTAAATTCAAGTTTAAGAGTTCTTACTGAATCATCATCTAATGATGTTGGTGGATGATCTTTTGTACTTATATTAACATAAATAATCTAAATATAAAAACAAAATAAAACAAGATTTTTATTTTTATTTTTATTTTCTTAAAAATATTTTTCTTACTTGATTATTATTAATATGAAAATCAAAATGATGATGAGTATAAACATATATATGATGTTTATGTGGAAATAAATTTGTTTCTTCAATTTGTCCAACAAAACCTCGAAGTGGAATATCATCAATAACAAATTCAAAAAAATAAAATTCTTCAATCGATAATCTTAATGCATTTATTTCATCATAATTTAATGTTAACGAACATAATTGTTTATTATTAATTTCCTCTAGAAAAAAAACAAATAAATCATCAAAATTTAAAAGATAATTTTATTTATTTATTAAATATTAACCATTAAATTTTATTTCATATAGAGAATGAGCCATTCGATCACCCGATAAAACTTCACCAAGTGTCAAATCTTTTGATACAATCTATTTATATTAATACAGTTTTACTTTAAAAAAAACAAGAAATTATTTATTTATTTTACTTTCGATGGACGACACACAGGAAGAGAATAATAATGATAAGTTTCTTGTGGATTAGAATAAGGACCAACTTTATTAACATAAATTATTACCTAAAAAATAACAAACGATAAAAATAATTCAAAAATTTTCGTTTTTTTTTTTTAAACTCTTACATTATCTTTGTCAGAATATTTCTTCTCATCTGCGTTGATGACAATCAATAAGCAAAGAAATATGATATAATTAGTAAATAACGACAACATCTGCAAGTAATAGACTATTTTTTTCTTTTTTTAAAAATAAAAATTAAACAAAAAAAAAAAAGAGTACCTGTTTCAACAATGATTTAAGGTACAAAAAAAAAAGCCCACGTGTTTACATGCTCGATCGACTATTTCACTTAGACGTAGTGTATACTACATACTTACCCTATGTTGTTGTAATCATTATGAGTGCAAGTGCGACCTCTAATATTGGCTGACAACATAAATAACCATTCAGAATTTAAAAAAAGATCCAATATTTAGTAATCAGCAATATTATTATTATTATTATTATTATTATTTTTTTTTTAAAACGATTTCATGAAGTTCAATTATAAGTGACAAAAGATAATTTGCTATAGACAATAAAACGATATTATTTTGAAGATGCCGCTAAATAACAGGCTTTCACTAAGATTTCGAATCGGTATGAACAAACTATACTATAAAGATCAATCAGATACGACATATATACTAAAATAAATAAATAGCAACAAAAATCCTAACATATCATAACTTATAAATGCAAGACAAAAATATTTTCTTAGTTGCAAAGTCACAAAACCATTAAAATGCCTTTGAAAACAATCAAAACTACATATTCTGCATGTGAAAAAGGGTTTTTCGTATATCAGAAAAACGAATCATACTGATACTCAAATACATCCATCTGTCTCATAACCGTTTCAATATCATTTATGTTAGACTAGGTACTGGCTAAAATTCTTCATTTAATCAGCAAAAAACTACGGTTCATTTCAAAAATCTTTTAACAAAATATTTATTTTAACAAACATTTTTTGAGCATGACTCTACGATGATATACAATGTGAAATTAATATAACTCTTGAAATTTCTACCAGTAGCAACTTTTATTTTTGTTTGACATATTACGTTTACACTATTATTAAGAACGAAGGAAACATTTTTTTTTTTGTTGTAAATTTTGCATATCGTAACTCACGAAAAGTTCTATTAAATAGTCTCTATGTTTTGCTTTTCCTTATTTCCTCCAATAAAGATATTTTCTTCTTTCAAATCACTATTTAACATTATTGAAAGACATCTTCGTTCGAATTTATGGTTAATACCTCATTTAGAAAGAAAAAAATAAATTAAATATCGTTCAATTTTAGTATTACACTTTTTATTTTTGTTTTCTTAATATTTGAGTATTTTTAGTTGCAAGAAGCTAAAAGTTAATCTAACTTTGACTACGAAATGAAAACTTTTCTGATAGTTTTCTAATGAAAACGTAAATTGAAAATATATTAGCCATTGAGATTTTCTCACAGTTACTTAAATACAATCTACAACAAATGTCTTAAAAAGTCAAGATGAAAAATCTTTAATTAAGAATGAATTTTTTGTTTTTAATGACTAATTTATTTTTCATAATCATAATCAATATATTGATCAATATCAAAGACTCTCATTATACGATGATAAAGGGTAATCTTTAAAGTTAAACTTTTCATTTTAATGCCAAAGAAAAATTTACTCATTATGAAACCTTTGCATTTCATATAATGATTGATCATTAATAGAATATTAGAATCGATAAAAACGAACAAAATAGACTAGTTTAAATGAGCAAAACATAGATTTAAAAAATGTTGAAAATGAACTGGTTATAAAGATTCAACCGGACTGAATTATAACCGGTCGATTCATAATTACAAGTCTGGCTACTATTCATCAATTCGGCTATATATATCTCTTAATTAAGAATAGTTTCTTTCAAAATTCGCATTTGTGACTTAAATAGATTAGCTGCTCAAAACAAAAAATGATATCTAAACAATGAAATTACATAATTTGATGAGCAAAATAATTGAGAAGAAAACTGTTTCATATAAGAATTGTAACAATATATAATGTAAGTAGACGAGTTATATATGCTGATGAAAGTATCGGATTATGTAGCAAACTTCCTTATTGTCTTACACTGCTACAAGTCTTTAGTAGTTGTTTAAATATTTTGGCTAGATTTTTCTAAATAAATATTTCAATGATAACTCAATGTAAAAACAAAAAAAAACACAGCACATTATTCATTATTCATCAAATATTATATCAGTTGTAACATAATATCATCAACTCTGCAGAATGAAACCATTTGAAATAGGTTACTGAAAAAATAACTAAATTCAAGTACAATTACCTAAGAAAAGTTAACAGCCGATTAGAGTATTTCCTACGATAATTCACCTCAATGTCTAAGCCACAAAATAAAACTAGTAAGCCACGTAGAAGTCAACGAGCTTTATCTAATGGTATCATCACATCCCACGAAACTTCAAATGTATGGTAACAAAAAAACCACAAGAATCCATAAGACACATAGAGAAAAATTAGCATTTTTCGTTAAAACCATGACGATTCGCCTGAGTACATAAGACACTCGTAAATCATAGGTCAATCGACGTAGAATTTCATGATTTATCCAAACCTATATAACTCATCTCGAAAAAATTCATAGAGCCGGCTGGATTTAGTGAAAACCACAAAAATGAGATTTTCTGAAGTAATACTTATCACAATTCGCCCCGAAGCTTAAGTCACCTTGATAACCACAACAATCTATGCAGAATAATGATCTCTATCCAATGGTATATAGTTCATGTTAAAAGATGATAATATTTATCTACTAATTTCGAAAAACTCCCGACCATAACCTAATAATTAATCATTCAGCCATATTTCAGCTGATAATCCATATGACGATTCGTTCAACTATATTAGCTATGTAATAGGTAGTAGATTAATTCAACAGGAGTTTAAACAGGATAGATAAAAGTGTTCATTGGCTTCAGTGAAATACTCATCGTTTGTGAAACTTTAATTCACAAAAAGGTTAAATTTAAAAAAATTGAAATCTTTTATTTTAATCAAGATTGATTCCAAATATTTTCGAGAATAAAAAAATGGAAAATTCTTAAAGGATGTTATTCTTGCTTAGTTTTGATAATTCGTTTTTAATATTTTCATTTACTCAACGAAAAACAAAATGAAATTCTATCCTCATATTGGATTTCGTACTCGTGTAACTACGAAATAGTCTTTGAGATTACAACTAACATAAAATTATCGAAAGTTTGAAAATAAATTATATATGTTGATCAATTAGTTCCAACTAATTAATTCATACTTAACATCAATATTAATCCGAACAATATCAAAACAATATCTTTAATGTTCAACTATCGGTAATTCATACTATCTATGTTCATAACATGTCGAATGAACGTTTTAAATAATTTTAATAATACTTATCCTATTTGATGGTACTTATCAATAGACTTTACTTATTATTAACAGTTAAATTACATATAACATACTAGAGGCAAAGGATGCCGCCGGTTAAGAAAATTTTTGATATTTCAGATTGTTTAATATGGATTTTGTAGAGCATTGAATGGGCTATCTTTCCATATATTTATTTTTTCTCAAGCCTTTTCAGTAACTGAGAAAGACTGAAAATGATGTTCTCAGGTATTGCTTGCACCTGCTGATGAAAAATGGTCTACTAAAAATAAAAGAAAGATGCTTAAGAATTTCTTTCCGATGGCATTCGATAGAGCTTTAAATTCTCTACAAAACGAGATATTTCAAATTCATACACCACGCTTGACTGTAACTTTAGAGGAGAAATCCTGGTAAAAATATAGCATTTCTGAAAAATCATGATTTTACATAATGACCCGCAGATCTGAGAAAAAGACGTGCCGCAATGAGATATTTATAGAGAAACTTCCTGAATACTAGAGTGATAGAGATATGAAAAGATTTCACAAAAAAATTCCGGCCGAAAAAGGTTATAGCCAAAATGTTAAAGATTTTTTGCATAAAAAAGCATAAAATCTAATGTTTTTGGGTCCAGATTTTCGTTTTATGTAGTTGTAATCACCGATTTACAGACATATTTGAAATCAGGATGAAAAACTGAATGAAATGGTATATGTTTCGATGTTTTTCATTGAACTTTTTTTTCCTCGAAAATCTCGC